TTCCTTCCTTCCTTCCTTCCTTCCTTCCTTTCTTTCTTTCTTTCTTTCTTTCTTTCTTTCTTTCTTTCTTTCTTTCTTTCTTTCTCTCTTTCTTCCATCCTTCCTTCCTTTCTTTCATTCTTTCTTTCTTTCTTTTCTTTTCTTTTTTTTTTTTTTTTGGTTTTTCAAGACAGGGTTTCTCTGTAGTTTTGGTGCCTGTCCTTGATCTCGCTCTGTAGACCAGGTGGGCCTCAAACTCACAGAGATCTGTCTGGCTCTGCCTCCTAAGTGTTTGGGATTAAAGATGTGCCACTGCCACCATGCCAGCATTTTTTTTATTACTATTGGATAAGAGCCACTCTAAGTGTATCGAGATGATCTCTCACAGTGCTTTGAATTTTCATTTCCCTCATGACTTTACATGTTGAATGGGTTTTCTTATACCTGTTATTTATTTCAGGCTTTTTATTTTTATTTTTAAAAGAAGTATCTATTAGGATGATTTCCCAGTTTGCATCTACTTATTAGGGAGCTTTGCTGTTGAGTTTCAATGTCACTTTACAATGTCTGCAGAGTTCCCCAATGTCAGTTGAATAGTTTTCTTTCATTTTGTAAGTCATGTCTTTTCTATATTTGCTAGACAGGAAATTTTAATTTGAAATAATTACGTTTGTCTTTCGAGCCTTTTGAAGAACAAATGTTAATTTTATTGAATTCCCATTTATCCATTGCCTTTCTATCAAATTCAAGACCTCATTGTTCTGCACTTATATTTTCCATATTTTGTCCTATATGTTCAATAGAGGCTTGAAATTTTACATTTCATAGGCAATTACATTTGTATTTTCACAGATGGTATATAAATCAAGGCTCATACCATTTCTATATATGAATAATTAGTCTAGAACATTTATTTTTAAGACTTCATACATTGGTTTACATTTGAATCTTTGTAAGTCAGTAAATTATATTTGTACTTCTATACATCATCATACCTTTGATCAATTTTTGTTAATTACATTCCCTTTTCTTTTCTCTTTCTCTTTCTTTCTTTCATTCCTTCATTATTTCCTTCCTTCCCTCTCTCTCTCTCTCTCTCTCTCTCTCTCTCTCTCTCTCTCTCTTTCTTTTGACAGTCCTGTATGGTTCTATGTTATGTCTCTGGGCTATCCATCCTGTGGGTCCTGGGGCTCCAGGCCATGTTAGGGGCTTACTCTCATGGTATGGGTATCAGGTTATTGGTTGGCCACTCCCTCAATCTCTAGGCTTCCTTTACCTCAGCACATCCCGTAAGAAGGACAGATTGTAGGTCAAAGGTTATGGGGTTGAATTGGTGTCCCAATCCCTCTATTGGAAGTCTTACCTTGTCAGAGGACAGAACTACTTTGATTTTCTCTTTTCTATTTAATGAATTCACTATAATACTTCTTCAATTATCATTGAAATTATTCAGTAGCTAACTCTCAATTCATAATTCCACCAAAATTACCATTACAACTCATCATTACATTCCATTGTAGTATATTTTATAAGAGCATTGGAACACCAGGATTTCTGTACCAACATCAACATTGTCTTTTGATGCTTAATGTCAGGACAAAAGGAACACAAAAGTTTTTAAAAAGCATATATTCAAATCTTTAGGCATCATTTCGATGACTTTTTTGCCAGTTCTTTTTTTTTTTATCCTGTCTCTGGGTCATTCAGCCTCTGGGTCCTAGTGTTTCAGGAAGTATCAGGGATGGGCTCACTCCCATTGTGTGAGTCTCAGGCTGGACCAGATTGGCCACTCCTACAATCTGTTCCACCCTTACCCCAGAACATCCATTTATGCAGACTGTAGGTTGAAGACTATGTGTCTGGGTTGGTGTCCCAATCCCAATCCCTATCCCTCCCTTGGACATTTTACCTAGTCCCAGGAGATGGCCTTTTAACGCTACATATTCCCTATTACTAGAAATATTAACTGAGGTCATCCTTGCTGGAAGTTTCCTTTTACCAGGTTTCTACCTGACCCTGAAATGCCCCCCTTTTCCAGTTGTCTCTTTCAGTACTCTCCCTTTCCACTCCTGTAACCTGATCCCTCTAGTTCTCATCCCCTGGTCCACGCACAAAATTTCATCTATTTTCCCTTCCCAGGGAGATCCCAGTATTCCCTATTGAGTTCTCCTTGTTGCCTAGCCTCTCTGGGTCTATAGATCGTAGCATGGTTATCTTTTACTGTACAGCTATTATCTACTTATAAATGAATACATACCATGTTTGTCTTTCTGAGTCTTGGTTACCTAACTAAGGATGAATTTTTTCTAGTTCTACCCATTTGAAAATCTCATGATGTTTTTAACAGCTGATACTGTTTTTAACAGTAATTACATTGCACTCCACTGTGTAAATATGCCCCATTTTCTTCATCCATTCTTCAGATGAGGGACATCTAGGTTGTTTCCAGGTGCAGCTATTAGAAACAAAGCTACTATGAACATAGTTGAGCAAGTGTCCTTGTGGTATGATTGAGCATCCTTTGGGTATATGCCTAGGAGTAGAATAGCTGGGTCTTGCGATAGATTGATTCCCAACTTTCTGAGAAAATACCATAATGATTTCCACAGTGGCTGTAAAAGTTTGCACTCCCACCAGGAATGGAGGAGTGTTCATCTTGCTCCACATCTTCTCCCACATAAGCTGTCACTGGTGTTTTTGATCTTAGCCATCTGACAGGTGTAATATGGAATCTCAGAGTTAACTAGATTTGCATTTCCCTGATGACTAAGGATGTTGAACATCCCTTTCAGTGTCTCTTGGCCATTTGAGACTTTTCTCCTTAGAATTCTCTATTTAGAGCTGAACACCATTTTTAAGTGGATTATTTGTTAATGTCTTCTTTCTTAAGTTCTTTATATATTTTGGAGATTAGCCCTCTGTCAGATGTGAGGCTGGTGAAGATCTTTTCCCATTCTGTAGGCTGACATTTTGTATTACTGACAGTGTCCTTTGCCTTGCAGAAACTTTTCAGTTTCAGGAGGTGCCATTTATTAATTGTTGATCTCAGTGTCTATGCTTCTGGTGTTCTATTCAAGAAGCTGTCTTCTGTGCCAATGCCTTCCAGACTATTTCCCACTTTCTCTTCTATCAGTTTGAGGGTATTTGGATTTATATTGAAGTCTTTGATCCACTTGGACTTGAATTTTCTGCGGGTGATAGATATGGATCTATTTGCATTGTTCTACATGCAGACATCCAGTTAGATAAGCACTATTTGTTTTCTACTCACTCTGTAGACCTGGCTGGCTTTGAACTCACAAATATCTGCCTGCCTCTGCCTCCCTAGTGCTGGAATTGAAGGCATGTGCCACCACTGCCTTTAGATACTTTCTTTTTTTCCACTTGTGTATTTATGGTTTCTTTATCAAAATCAGGGGTCCATAGGTATAGCCAGAAGTTTCTTTGGTCCTGCCTTGCCCATCAGTCCTGACAAATCTCTCCCACTTGCAGTTCCACAGCCACTTATAAAATAATTACACAGAGGCTTATATTAATTACAAACTGTATGGCCTATGGTTCAAGCTTCTTGCTAGTTAGCTCTCATAAGTTAACTCGATCCATTTCCATTAATCTGTGTGTTGCCACAGGGCCATGGCATTACCAGTCTGCTGACATCTTGCTGTTACTTTGGCGGCAGGTTCCTGTCTCCCCTGTCTCTGCCCTTCTTCTCTCTTTATCTCTGCTTGAATTTCCCACCTGGCTGTAAACTTTTTTTGCCATAGGCCAAAACATCTTTATTTATTATCCAATGGAAGCCACACATATTCACAACATAAAGAAAGACATCCCACAGCATATAGGTTTGTGGATTTAAATGTGCATCTTTGATTAGATTCTATTGATCCACCTCTGTTTTTCTGCCAATGCCACACTGTTTTTTTTTTAAACTATTGCTCTGTAGTATACTTTGAAATCCTTAGTCATCAGGGAAATGCAAATCAAAACAACTCTGAGATACCATCTTACATCTGTCAGAATGGCTAAGATCAAAAACACCAAAGACAGCTTATGTTGGAGAGGCTGTGGAGCAAGGGAACACTCCTCCACTGTTGGTGGGAATGCAAACTTGTACAGCCACTCTGGAAATCAATATGGTGGTTTCTTAGAAAATTGGGAATAAGTCTTCCTCAAGACCCAATTATACCACTCTTGGGCATATACCCAAGGAATGCTCAATCTTACCACAATGAAACATGCTCAACTATGTTCATAGCAGCATTATTCATAATAGCAAAAACCTTGAAACAACCTAGATGCCCCTTAACTGAAGAATGGTTAAAGAAAATATGGTACATGTACACAATGGAGTACTACTCAGCAGTAAAAAACAATTATATCATGAAATTTGCAGGCAAATGGATGGAACTAGACAATATCATCTTGAGTGAGGCAACCCAGATTCATTAGGACAAACATAATATGTACTCACTCATAAGTGGATACTAAATCTGAGGGAAGGGATAGCCAGACTTCAACCCACAACTCCAGAGAGGCTAGCTAACAGGAAAAGACCCTAGGAGGGACAATGGATGACCCTGTGAAGGAGAAGTGGATGAGATCTACATGAGTG